TTGAATTAATAAGGGGTTTTAAGGTTTCAGGTAGCTCGATGTGTCTCAATTAAATCCACTCAAATAGTGAATTATCATAATTTATATATTCTATGTAATGTAAAGTAAAATAAAAGTCCCAAAACTTAACTAACCTGTCAGAACTGACCTGCGTAATACACAGAAACACAGTCAAACTTCATATAGAAGATGAAAAGGCATGATTTGTAATGGATTACTGACATTTCTACATCAATTCAAATCACAAAATCTTGATGGAGAGCAGATAGTCTAGCTAATAAATTATTATAAAAATTAGTGTACTTTCCATCTTCTCTACTTACATCAATCGTAAACTTTGTTTTAATTAATCAAAACACTTTGCAAAGATTGTAGAGACAAATATGAAAGTTTTTTAAACAAAACAACAGCGTTTAGCCAGCTAAAAATACGTTTTTAAGCATTTGCTATTCAATTTCTTTGAGGAAGTGCCTTTTCCCCAACCTCTGCAACCATATTCCTATTTATACCCCCTCAAAAAATGATCTTCTGGCTCCATGTACTTATTTCTTCATACTTTCCACCTTTAGCCAATTAATAATTCTACAAAATTCAAGCAATCCTTGGTTTGTTGCTAACGCGGCTATTTGTGTTTAGGACTTCAGATTGAGGATTAGATTGGACCCCAACAAATCAAAACGAGTGTAGAGGGTTTTGTACTTCTAAAGGAGTTGCCGGATCTACCCTAAAACCATGCCTCTGGTGTGGATGAAAAATAAAAGGGGTTTCCCTACGGAATACCTTCATGGTTGTTATTGGAATTTGTCAGGTTTTTTGTATAAGTATGAAATATTCTACACTTCCATACGTATTATTTGGAATAAAGAGCACAACGAGATAATATTTAAGCCTATACAAACGTAAGCTTAACCAAGCACTTTTACGTTTGGAGCTATCTGAACGGGATTTAAAAAACTAAAATGTCGATTAAAATCAACTCTTTATTTAATTGTTGGTGTTGGTAAGTTTATAATATTAATATCATGAAAACTATCCATCATTAGTCAAACAAATAAAAAAATAAAGATATGCATGTGTAGAGTAAAAAAAGTAGATTACACTTTTTCATATGTTTTTTGTACACGGACATTTGTCTGGATTGTTGTTTACATAAATTAATTGTTTTTCCCAGCGTTAACCAGGTTTTGTACTTAACCATGATGAGATAGGTCCTTTAAATCTGAAGAAGAAATAGGATTCCCAATCCCGAAACGTCTTGAGGCACGTGTTATTCAGTGATGGAAAATGTTCACACAAATCTTTGTCAATATTTTCAAAAACACATTTAATCAATCAAATAAAAAAATTTAATATTCTTTTATATTTATTGGTCATTATGACCCTATAGCTTACACCCTACTGATACTATACAGGTTCTATTGTATATTTCTGGTACAGGAAAACGCTGATTGTATCGGTAGCATAATATTAATTAGTACTAATTATTACATACCATGTATTACATTGGTATTATTTACACTGTCCATGTAAACACAGTAGCACAGTATAGTTTGATTGTCTTGTGTACATATTTGAAGATTATTTCTATTTTAAATAACTATAACATCTGGCTAGGTATTCTTGCTATTTTTTACCATATGGTATGATTTTTGTTTTCATATGTTGCTTTTGCTTGGAAGATAACCTTTGATTTGTTCGTTCTGGTACTTTTACTGAAATAATATAGTTGTTCAATTATTCTAAACTCTAAGCTTTTTAGCGAACTTCCCATTAGAATAAACTATTGCCGTAGGTGGCATGGTAAGACCTAGACCCGGGATCTGGTTGATTTTCGTTTTTATTTCCCCAGAGAGAAAACCCCCATCTGTTCAAAATGTTATATGTATCCGTAAACACCTAACCTCAAATTATTTTGATCCGATTTTAAATAAAGTTCGGCATGGATTTGTAAGGCTGGATAAACTAGAACGATTTCACAAATCAGCAAAATCGGGTAATAGGAAAAGGTTTTTATGGGGGTTTGAAGTTTTTAAATAACTCGTTTTATCATATTTTGCCAATATAAACAATCCATTTTGTATTACAGTCATCAAGTAGAGCTAAAAAAACGAACAATTTTGTACGTTGAAGCACTTTCTAGAATTAAAAATTACGGAGAAAATAAAACACCCAAATTTAAAATTTCTACGTTATTTCTATGTAGAAAATTAATACTGTTGTAGATTACTTGATTACTTGGATTCAAATTGGACGATGGGTTTTAATTGATACACTTACGCGTCTATAATGTCTTTGTCCCTAAGCAAACCTTCCTTAGCACTTATGTATTTAACCTCCATAACCCCCCCCCCCCTCTCATTTGGATTAATCTAACGGCCCCATTACATTTAGCACAAATAAACAGTCGGGTTATACAACCATTAGCCGCTTAACTACACTTAAAACGTTTGATAAAGATAAAGTGCAAATTTGATCATTCGAAACTTTAATTAAATAAGTGTATTTATTCCCAAATAATGGTATAATACGCGTACATGAAAGTGAAACTGGTGTTAACAAGCTTACATAAAGATAAATTGCCTACTTAAATTATTTTCTAAAAAAAAAGAAAACTAAATTGGAAACAACAAAATATTATATTAATGTAAAGGTTGTAGAGGGTTCTCGTTGTATCTGTCACCTATCCTTTTAGTTTTATCATTGAATATACAACGTTATAATGTTAATTCATTTATAATAACTTTGCCTTTGTTATTATTACATAAAATCATACACATGTAAAACATGTACTCTTAAAACTAATGTTTTCGTCATTGGTGCACTCATACGTAGCTGTACATGAAATACACATCAAATCAGGATTTGGATTAAACGATAGGATGGAAAGCCCAATTGAAGTTTCCAAAGTTAATGTAAACTTTATTGCCCGTTAATTAATTTGATATTTGAACCACTATCATATCTTTTTCTACAAAAGGGAAAGAGCGTTTACAAAAATAGCAAAGTTTCCACCACTACCTACTGTCGGGGTAGTAGTCATTTCATTTTCTAAGAACCACAAGTGCACCCTGTAAAAAAAGGCATGGCAGGTTGGTAAAACGTTTCATGCGTAGCACTGTATCCATTTGTCAAATAGTTCGATATTTAAACTACGATCACAATTTCTGCATCCAAAGAACCAAAAAGAAATGTTAAAAATCATATAGTTCCATTCTTTCACGACCTAGAAATTTGCAATTTAAAACTTTACATGTATCTTTTTACCTTTCAGTCCCCAAATCGTATCACCAAAATCAATGCGTGTTCCAACCGAGTAACAATGCGAATCACGTAACCGAACCGTGGAATTAGCTTTTATTCGTTCTTTCAACAGAACTAGTGAACTCCAAAGCTAATAGCAGTCGTGCGATGCAAGCTAAGGTGTAACGGAGTATCAGAAACGGTTACCTAAGGTGTAACGGGGTATCAGAAACTGTTACAGTAAAGTAAACTCTATCGTGTAAATAAACTGTGCAGAAATAGAACCGTGCTTACGTGGACAATCACCTGGGCTAAAACATAATGCGATACACTTTTGCATTGCTTTAAGTGGTAGTTTTCTAATGTTAAGTTATTCTGGTCTAAAAGATTGTGTAATTTTCTTTTTACTAGATAGCTAACCGCTGAGTGGGCTTGCCAAAGTGTAAGAACGATCTATTATCACATAGTTGAAATGTGAAGCCAATGGTTGGGTAAATGAAGAAGTCGTCCGTCGTTACAAATAGATACATAATTAAACATCATTGGTGTTTGAAGAGATTTGAACTAGGTTTCTAAGCAAGGAGTAACCACCGCTCTAACCATTACACTAGGCCGTCCACACTTTAAATTGCTTACAACAAGTTTAGATAAATACAAAGGACACAGAAAAAATGTATAATTAGTATAGGCGGGAATTATAAATTATTAAATACAGGTAACAATGAACACAACAACAACGAACATACACTGAAACGACTTGGAATACACAAAGGTGAAATTATAGTGGAATAATCGACCGTTTACTAAAAGCCTTCCGGTAGCAAGGGTCGAAAGTCAACCGGGCGAGGTCGGGTTTAAGGTAATTAATTAACAGTGTTTGGCTGGAAAGCAGCTGAAACAATGCCGCCATTGTACAAGATGGATGGCAGCCGTGATAAATGAGATGTGACGTTGCTGTGAAATGGAGGAGGGGGGGGGGTAAACTGTACTACGAAGTATACATCTTACACAGTACACTGTAATGGAACAGGTAGTTATACACAGTATGTATAAATTACAGTATACATACTGTAATGTAAGGAGTACACCGGACCTATCAGTTAGTACAATATACAGCACTGCAATTTGAGAATCTTGTCTTGCTCTTGCATTGTAATGCAAGATTTTTACTATAATTCTCAACGTGTAACGTTACGTACAGCGACATTATAGGCTTCTTTGACTGCATAAAACTGTTATACTGTAACAAGAGGAACAAAGTTATGCTCAATAATCGATGCTGACAATATAATTTGCTACAATAGTTTTAAACGAGTAACCTTTTATACACGAATTGTCTTAGCTAGGTATCATAAGGAACCGAATCACGTGTTTAGTGTGCACCAAACTGTTTACTTGGTGTTAGACTTATTAGACTTTCCGTACACAAAAAGGGTGTTTAGCACAAAATCCCACTAAATCACGTTTTCAGTGCCAAAGCACCGAATTGTTTAAAATCCTTCAGCACCGGATGATAATTTAGTACACAAAGACAATACTCAACAAGTGACAACTAAGGATAGCTGAACCCCCATCTAATCCTACCCATCGGCATCGGGCACTAAAGTGAAGATTCTTCTTGTTTGCCCAGGAGGTAGGATTCTAGGGGTAAAGCACTTCGGCGACCCATCTACTCGAGGTTGTGACGTGACTCATCGGGACTTGCCAGTGGGGTGTTTCTTCAGGATCTAGTCTTTTTTAGCCTATAGTTAGTGACTAACCTCGAGTATCTCATCTCCCACGCAGATTCCCCCGGTCTTGAAGGCAGAGCCCTTGGGGTTGATCCCGCAGACGAACACTGCCATACGGTTGCGGTCCTTGTGCCCGGCCAGACTGATGCCCAGCCCTTGGTGGCCCTTCTCCAGCTGCACCATGACCACGCCCGGCCCCAGGTTCCCATACTTCTTTTTCACTTTATCTGTAACCGAAGAATTACATCAATCCAACTGATCATAGTAAAATTATGCACACTGCTGGGAATTTTAAAATCTGGGTGGTAGTAATTAAATTACGCAACTACGAACCTACCAGAATGTTTCTACATATGTTGTCTTTATTGGAAAATAGTGGTAATTGTTAGTAATGGTAATGCACACAGAATTAAATTACGATAATGACTTCTGCATATTCGGGTTTTCATGTTGGATACAGTTGTTGTTTCCAAGGATGATATGCAGGTGCGATATTCTGTTATAGCATGGTAGCTGAGTGGTTAAAATTCTCAATTAACAATCAGAAGGTCGCTGATTTGATCCTTAAAATAGTCAGAACCTTTTGGTACTTCAAAACTGTACCCAGCTGTAATTCCTCATTGGACTAATAAATGGAACTGGCTATAGCTGAGTGCTCGTAAAATCTACCAAATGTAAAAATAATTTTCCGTGAAATTAAGATCCTTGCATTTTATATCTAAAGACTACGACAAAGGTTTCTGGTTCCTGAAAAACACCAAAGACGTTGAATATTGCAAGTAAACATTATTAGTCCTAATGCAAAATCACGATCTTTTTACATGTTGGTTACGTCTTCGATGATGATAATTACGACTAAATGTTGTTTATTTTACGTTGTATTTTTTCAATAGTTGTCTTAATCTTGACCATAAACTGGGACGGGTGGCATCGTCCTGTAATCCAGCTACTAGGAGATTACGAATTGTGGATATTTATAGGCACGCACTGTGGATGCGATACTCCCGCACCAGTGACCTGAAAATTAGACCAATTCGGTAAAAATGTGGTTCCAATTCCACTATAAACTGTAGGTCCATTAGTTGCCATTGGCTGTATGGGCCATTAATTAACAGCTGTGTCTAAGGTATATTTCGGCCTTAGTTACTAACAAGACTACAAGATCGCGCCCCTCATCCTACACTTATCTCCATTCATACTTGGCTTAAAATACCTACTTTGTATGGTCGCCATTTCATTGAAAAGTATTAATAAAAGTATTAAAGTATTGAAAAAGAGGAGATGCAAACGTTAAAAATATTATTGTATTCGGCCATAAAGGTTTGTTTTTAATTAAAAAGAAATGAATCGTTACCCAAAACAATTCTATATCTTCATACTACTTATTGGGATGAAACAATCTATAATACCATCTATGGGATACTTAAAATGTGCCCAACAACATTTAGCAAAACTTTGTTGATTACAAGAAATCAAAACACTGGCTGAGTTCACGGTTGACTAGATCAAGTCCCTACATCACAATACATTATCTCGTCTCCCCCAACGCGGAGAAGGAAGCTACAGTTTATCTGCCCAAGGGACAGCTTTATGTCCTGCCTTGTGATGAGCGATGAGCAAAGTTAAATGACAGATACGGTTGCAGAGTAAACAGTGTGTGGGTTGTGTTATCTAGCGATTCTCTCAACCCCAGAGAACACCCCTTGTATCTCCCTCATATTGGTTGTTGGGAGGGGGAGGGGGGCACAAACAATAGGTAGCGATTGCATGAGAGGTCTTTACAGAGGTAGTCTCTGTGGAAGGAGGGGGATTAAAACATAAACTGATGAGGAACTAGTGGAAAACTTGTTACCAAAGAATTACCGCGAAATTGTCAGTAGTTTCAAGGATGTCGGAGCCCTTTCTGAGAATGACTAGTAGTGATTTTGAATATTTGATTTCAATGATCGGACATAAAGTTCAAACTGTGGAAAACAACGTGAAGCGATTTCTTCCATTGTGTCATGTCAGCTAACCAAAACACCCAAACGAGGGTACCTAACATGAATACCCAGATTTAAAAAACAACAATAAAAAATACGGTAAAACCCCTAAGAAGAATCTGCTCCGATTATGAATGATCCTAAAAACGCCACTAAAAGAACAATGCAGGAGTTTTGTGAACACTCTGCAAATCGTACTTGGCAATTACAAATGTGTCGACTACATGAGATAACAAACTAATTTCGATGTAGTTAAATTACAAAATGCTAAGTGAATGATTAGAATAGAGTAACAATTGTGTAGCGGAGTTAGTGCAGCATAAACGTATCCCATACACAGTATTATATTGTCTTTGCCCATACCCATACCCTTTATAATTCTTTGAAAATTAATTTCATTGAGCTGAATGAGAGGAAGTAATGCTGATTTTCTATATTGATTGAATGAATTATTATGTGAGATGTTATATAGTATCGTCCATCACTGTATACTAACACCCTACATGTAGTCTAATGTCAGTATGTCTAATGACCGAGTTTGAAGAGACTAATCTTGTATGTTTATTCTGTGCTCTCTGGTTTGTAGTCTATTCCCCACGCTAGAAACAGTTTTCACGAAGCCAGATCTCAACACATCAGTTTTCCTTCAACAATAGTATTCCCTTCACCAATCAAACGTCAGTCGACACATTGTGATTTATGTTCCACAATCCTAATGTATCTTCTGTGTAGAGAGGACTATCAGTTTTCCTTTGTCAAATGCATTTTGTCACTCCATTTAAAATAGATTTTTCCTTATAACTGGACAGTTTTGAATATTAACTCTGATTTGTAAGTCTCCTATGTTATCTTCATACAAAATTTACATTTTGATCCATCATTTTACAAATCTTTCATTTTCCTTTATAATCATACACCGGTTAGTTACATTGTTTTCTTTTATCTTCAGCAACTTGACCGTCACCTATTTGTATAATCGAATAACTGTTAGGCTTAGGTTCATACACTATCTATTATGTGTTATATGCATTCTATATGTATTTAATTTATGTGTTTTTGTGTTATACCCTATTGGAATTTTTTAAAGTTTTACCCAGGGAACGATCCGGTCTATACTCTAGTCTTGTTACTATTTAATATAATTTAATGTAATGGTCTTAAATACCATCATTAATGGTCCAGGATCTCGCTTGAAATCAAACCAGCGACCTTCACAAGGTGAGCAGGTCGTGCATTAATTGCGCCAAAGAGTTCCTTAATTGTGCTAAGCCCTCAAAGGATCCCAAAAATTGTTCCTTTAGTTACGCAAAACCCAAACCAGGTAGGTACGAGTTGCTGGTAGAAAGAATGTCCTTGTTCATCCTAACCTAACCTAATACTTTAGAAATGATAACCTTACCTAATTTAAACTACTCAGTTATACAGTCTAAGAGGGCCGCCACTGGACGAAGTCAAGGAAGGTATCGGGTGGCTCCCTGGAGTAGTTGGCGCAATTCACGAATACCCGATTAGCTGACTCAGGTCAGTTGGCGCAATTAATGCCCACCCGGTGAGCACTATAACGACTGGGCTACTATACCCTACTATTTTATAGCTTTGTAACGAATACTTTAGCCCAGAAAATATACAAAGCGTTGTGAGCAAACTCAAATAAAATGGTTTCCAAGTTGTTAAAAGGTAAAAATTACACAGACAATGATGCGGATAAGCTTAGAGCTCTGCTTCTCTAAGTAGTTTATTACCTAGGAATGGGGTTAATGTCTGAAAACTCTGTGTAAACAAATTACTGTAAAATCAGTTTTTATTTTATTACAGGGCGCATCTGGTCGTGCATGTAAGTTATAGGCAGAGGTGCACTTCTCTCCGAGTATTGCGGTAATTGTCTATGCGATTCTGTGACTCGGGTGTCCGTAGCCTACTATTCTGTGTGCAATTAAGATACATCAACAAGTGAAACCAAATACGACGACAAACTCGTTTGCAAGAACTGTCTCTTCTCTGAAGATGAAGATCACCACACTTCGAAAAATGCCGTTCCAATATGAGCTGTTTTATACGCAAGTAAACCTGAAATATTTTTTTTTTATTCCTGACCAATGCAACAATCGACATAAAACTCATTCCTACACACACCACGTGTGCGGCCTACTGAAGGAACTCCACACTTTAACCAATGTCATTACACAACTTATCTGCTCTGTGATCTCAACGTCGGAGGCTTTGCCACATAAGGTATACAATAAGGTAGATAACAAAACACGCTTAAAACATGTGCAAATACAACTGTGCTGTCTTGTCAACGTTTTAAGAGCTCTGTTATACATGATATGGCACAGAAGGGTTTAAGGTAGATTGCAGAAATACTTATTATTCTATACTCTAATACGAACTATGTCTGGTTGTGGGTTTGTAGAATTTATCTCGAAATGCAGCGGAAGAATGTTACCTGAAGTTTCGAATAAGAGACTTTTGAGTCTAAATATTCGATTAGTGAAAACCACAGCTAAAACACTCGTATTTTGCCATACGACTCGTTTGAAAATTTGAAAACTTAACACTGGGCTTATGGAATGTCATCATGGCTACGAAAAACAACGAAAATATAGACAAAAGAATCATAACATGAGCTTACAAACGAACCAACACGACAAAATACGGTACAAACGAAGAAACATTTGGGTAAAGATAATATGTACCCATTCGGGTAACTAAAATCAAACGAATATATTTCACCAAACATTGAAAAGAATTTTTAACAATTTCTTGCTCACTTTTTCTTGACAGTAGAATAAAAACATTTAAAAATATTACGTGTAAATGTAAATTACAACAAAACACCTTTTTTATTAGCTGTTATAAATTAAGCAGATAAACCGTCAAAACAATGTTTATGTAAAGATTGGCTCTCACAAAAACGTGGTGTGACTATTATTGACTTCAAATAGATGTGCGTTTCGTGTTAGTGATCTTTGAGTGCGCTGCCATCGACTAAATTTTTCTCTCTTATTTTAAAGTGGATTTTACAATTTATATTGCTCTCTTTTTTCACCAGAAGACAACCGATATTTTACATATACATTATACAAATTATTCAGTTTTAAAAATGGTTGAAAAACAAGAATCTGATTTTAAACGAAATGTGCTTTTTTATCGGACAGAACTTACATTGAAATTGTCTTAAGTTGATTAATAGCTTCCTAATAACTATGTATATATTTAATTCAACGAAAGCAAAGCGATCTTGA